TAAATATATTTTTTAAATAAAAAATATGAGTTTTACTGTGTAAAAATTGAAAAAAAGTGGAACGCCATTTGGTGAAAAGTGGTAAAAATTGACTATTTCATTGTTTGAAAAAACATTGAAAATCCCAAAAACTGAAATTTTTATTGTGATAATCTTGTTCCATGATGTCTAAACTATAGAAATATTGCTTTGTATAAGTTAAAAGTAGTGTACACTCTTTAAAAATAATGTTTTATTAGGAACGCCATTTCGGTGTTTTTGCCAGTCTGGGCCTCGGCGCGTGGAACGCCATTTGGAACGCCCCGCCAGTGAAGTGGTTAATAGCTGCCTTTCGCGGGACTAACGCCTACCAATGCACCATGCCAACACAGCCTGGACGTTCACGTTTCTTATAATCTCAGATCAAGCCCATACACTAGTCGAAGTCTGACTTCATATTCGTCATTAACGAAAAACACAAAAAACCCTGAATAACACGTTTAAATCGAATTCCATTATTGTTTAAAAAAATATCCGCCTTTGTAAATTTTAAAAATCTGACTTCAGATTTGTAATCAGCGACCCCAAAAACTCCCGAGTAAAAAGTTTTAAGTAAGTTTGATCAATTAAACAAATTTACGCCATATTTGATCCGCTATTGTTAATTTTGAATATCTGACTTCAGATTTGTAATTAGATACCCCAAAAGTCCTGACTAAAAACTTTCAAGTGAATAAGATTAATTTGAAAAAATAAATCCGCCATATTAGATACTCCATTTTTGAATTTTGAAAATCTGACTTCATATTGGTAATAAGCGACCCGAAAAACCCCCGAGTAACAAGTTTCAAGTGAATTTGATCAATTTTTGAAAAAGTCGTCCGCCATATTGGATTCGCCATTTGGAATTTTAAAAATATGAAAAATCCGACTTCAGATTCTTAATCAGTGTACCTAAAAACCCCCTAAAGTGTACTTGGTTTTTAAATTCCTTGACTAGAAAAATGTATGCTTCAAAGGGTTAATGACTATTACACCAACTAATGTGGAATCTGAACGAGCATTTTCTGCCGCAGGATATCTCTGTAATAAACTTAGAAGTAGTTTAGCAGATAAAACCATCGATACTCTTTGTTTCTTAACCCGTTGACTGTCGCTGACGCATATGCACAAAACTAAACTGGCCAAAAGTGTTCATGACGCATATATGCGCAACTTAAAAAAGGTGATTAAAAACTTCTTAAATGTTCCTGAAACCGGTTACTCGGGGGTTTTCGAGGTCGCTGATTACGAATATGACATTATTTTTCCAAAATTCAAAATGGCGGATCCAAAATAAAAAATTAATTATAATGGCTTGAAACTGAACACTCATCAATTTTTTATTTTGTTGTCCGCCATATTGGATACGCCATTTTGAATTTGAAAAACTAATGTTAGATTCGTAATCAGCGACCCTTAGAACCCCCGAGTAACAAGTTTCAAGCAAATTCGACGAATTTTGAAAAAACTTCCGCCATCTTGGATCCGCCATTTTGAATTGTAAAAAACTGATGTCAGATTCGTAATCAGCGATCCCAGAAACCTTAAGGCGCTCTCACAGCTAGTAGGCAGCATACAAATTTGAATTTACTATCTCTTTCACTCTAATTGATTTTCTCTCTTACTCCAATTACTGCCTGCGCAGGCAGGCAGAGCTGTGAGAGCTCCATTAGGGTACCAAGTTTCATAAAAACCCATTAAAAATTTTTTCAACACACTTTTGGCCCAAACAGTGGAAATTTCGTTGACAGCCAAGGGGTTAAGATCTTATTTTCAAAATGAAAATTAGAAACTTCCATTTAATGGAAAAATTTATGTTAATTTAAAAATACTTAATTTACATTCAAACTTAGTTTAACAAGTGAAGTTGTGCAATAATAAAAAATTTATTTATAGACGCCCAGATAGCACAAAAACTTCTAGGAAATTTCCAGGAAGTTTCCCATGGCAACTTCGGAAGTTACCTTTGGTAACTTCCTGGAAGCTTCCCTGGAATACAACAATGTCCGCCTCTGGAAACTTCCTTCGGAAACTTCCTGGAAACTTCCTGGAAGTTTGCTGGAAACTCTCTTTGGAAACTTCTTGTTATTTACCCGTGGAAACTTCTTGGAAATTACCAAAGGTAGTTTCTTGGAAATTATCTAGAAATTTCCAAAACTTATTTAATTTTTTTGTAGATAAATTTATTGTTTAAAAAGTTTTAAAAAATTAAGAGATTTTCATATTTTTCATTGACCTAAAATAAAAAATTGTATTTAATGAAAAAAAAAAATAATCTTAAACGTGCGAGGGTGAGCAAACTCGAACCTTTGTATAGCCTGATTGATAAGTCTAAAGGTCTCAAAGTCAGCTGCTGGGATAGCGCCTTAACGCGCTCAACCAAATCGCTACTTGCATCCATTTTTGGAAATATAATATACACATTACCTATTGGATTCTTTCTATACTATAGGTAACTTTAATTTCTATTTTACCAACTGTAGTAACAGTTTTTTTGGTAAGTGAGGTTATGTCATAGTTAAATGTTTACATCTACATATTGATTTTAATTTAATAAGTAGTGACAGTTTTATAATTGCTTAAATATTACGTGAAAGTGAATACATATTTATTTTTGAATTAGTGTTTTGTGGTGTTGGTGTTTGTGAATAATAAAGAAAAACAATTGCGTCCTTATTTTAATAATCCTTATCATTATTTGTTTTAAGGGTGTTTATTATTTTAATCTACAAATGGCTTTAAAAATTTTTTTTAGTTTTTATGAATAATTAAATTCTTTTGACGAATTTCTTTGAATTTTTGAAAATAATGTTTTTTTTTAAATAATTTTAATTGAAAAGTTGGAAATTAATTAAATTAGACAAAGAATTTTTTTAACTTTTTAAACAATAATCTTGTCTGTTTATAAATATAATTGAAAATTTTATTTTTCAATTTTATTAAAATTATATTGATAATAATTGATTTTCTGCAAAGAATTTGACTATATTTTTTATGAAAGTAATTAAATATATAATTTAATTCTTGCGAAGAATTATATTAAAATTTTTGCCAATACTAAGCAGTACCTAATAATTAATTATTTATTTAATAAGTAAATAAATAAAAATAATTGATTAGTAAATAAATAAATAAAAAGTCTTACTTTCAGCCTAATTTCGAGGTTGAATTCAAAGTGTAAACGGAGTCAGACTGATTTTATCCTGTGTAATAAAAATTTAATTTGTTCAAGAAATAAGTAAATATCATTTTATTGATCATTCAGAAATTTAAAATTATAAAAATTTAAGAGAAGTTTAATAATTATAATTATAGAATAATAACATAATAATATAATTTAAATAAAATTTTTAAAAAGAAATTCAATTATTTTCAATAAATAAAATTAAACGTAAAAAAATTTCAATTAATTCAAAAATTTTCAATTTTTTGTTTATAAAAATTCAATTATCTTGAAACAATAGAATTGAAAAATTTTAAAAATCTTATTTTTAAAAATTTTCAAAAAAAACTTTGCAAAAATTCAATTTTATTAAAAAATTTTAAGCGTGTGTTTATTTAAAATTAACCAGTAAAAATTTGAATTATTAATTTTGGAATTAAATAACATGAATACATTAGAATATGACTCATTATAAAATTCAATTATTTATCAATTATTAAATTAAAATACTTTGAAAATTCTATTTGTTAAAAAGTTTCTAATGAAATTCTTTTACAAATTTAATTATTTTCAGTTGAATTTCACAAAATTTCTATTAATTCGATAATTTTTTAAAATTCATTTACATACTTTATTTAAATCAGTGACTGATTTTTTATTATCAAATAAATTATTTTTATAATTAATTCAAATTTAGAAAACAGTATAAATATCTATAAAAATTGAAATAAAAATCGATTTTTTAAAAACAAATTAAAATAATAAAAAAAATTTTTAATTTGGTAAAATTCGGTAAAATTTGCCAAAAATTAACATAATGTTAACAGAAAATTATTTTCCAGGTGCTTTCTCATTTTTCCCTGACTATTCCCCGACTTTTCCATACAAAATAAAATTCCCTGACATTTCCAGGTTTTCCAGTTTTCCAGACATTGTAGCAACCCTGCGAAATATTTGATTAAATTTGGTGTAACGAAGGGAGTTACGGAGTGGAGTCACGGAGTGAAGTTTTGACATCATATTTATTTAAGGGTTTATACCACTTCACACGCTTGAAAATAAAGCTATTTTTAGAATTTTTTTACGATTTCTATGGATTATATTAATCTGCATTTTTTTTAGCTCAATAAATACACTCTTTAACTTTATAAAAAACCTTATTTTATTTTAAAAAAATTATTTGTTTATTTAAAATTTAACAATAATTTTAGACCTGCCAAAAATACCGATGCCAGCTGCGGGATTGATTTCTCAGGTTAGAAAAATCTAAAACAAAAAATTCAAATTGATTTATCTTCAGTAGGACTGTGCCTATCGCCCGAACTAGAATTTTTAATTTTTATGCAAAAATAACAAAATGGCGGCAATTAAAAATTTTTTGTTCGAAAATTAAGATTTTTTTTGCAGTCTTTCGGTTTAAAAAAATAGTAAAAATTAATATTTTAAAATAATTCTAGTTCCGGCGATACCCACCTATGTGACGAAGATTTTCGTAAAAAAATTTTGAGAATCGGTCTAGTAGTTTCCGAGAAAAACATCCCGCAGCATGGAAAAATGTGGTTTTGAGAAAAACACGTTTAAAGTTTGTGTTGTATACTTACATAACCGTGTAAGCGCTCAAATAGCATTGAAAAAATTAATTTTGAGTGCTGGGATCTTTCTAAAAATTTTACACCACATTTTTGACATATTTTACTTTCGAAATCCATAATAAAAAATTTTTTGCTTTTTTGAAGATGACAAAGTTTGATAATTTTTTAAAAATTTTATTGATGATTTAACTAAAAACTTTAAAATAACAACATAAAATGGCTGGACAATTTTTAATTACTTTAATTTATTTTAAATTCAACAATTTATTCATTTTCTTTCTCACTCCCTTCGGTGTCAGTGCTGCTATCGCCGTTATCATCGCCACTTATTGAAATCGTTTCCTCATTTTCTTGTTGTTTCTCTTTATCCATCTTTTCTCTAAACATAAGAAATTTCAATTATTTTCAGAAATTAAACGCAATTAAATATTTTTTCAAAATTTACTAATTTTAATAAAATTGTCCAAAAGAAAATTATTTAAACAAAATTTAATAAAATTATACACAAATCTTTAATTATTATTTTCAAAAAATAATAAAATTTTGACAAGGATTCAAATATTTTCGTAAATAATAAAATTCTTTTTAGGAATTTAATTATTTTCATAAATAATAAAACTCATTGCAGAATTTTAATTATTCTTAATACAATTTTAATTAAATTCCTCGAAAAATGGAATTATTCATAAAAATTTTATTACAATTCCTCAAAAGATATAAAAATTTATTAATAACATTTTTTATGAGAATTTAATTTTAAGAAAAATGCAATAATTAACTTCTAGTACAATTTTGAAAAGGTTTCAAATTAAAATCTTTGAAAATAAAAAATTTTAACGTAATTCTTCGAAAAATTTCAATTAAATAACACAAATTTTCCCATAAATTCAATTATTTCAAAAATTTTAATTATCTGTTTTTAAAAATTCAATTATCTTGAAACAATAGAATTGAAAAATTTCAATAGTCGTATTTTTCAGAACTTTCAGAAAAACTTTTCAAAAATTTTAAGTGGGTTTCTTTTTTAAATTAACTAATAAAAATTTTAATTATTAATCTTCGCACTGAGAAACATGAATTCCTCAGAATGTGACTCTTTATAAAATTAAATTATTTATCAATTATTAAATTAAAATACTTTGACTGATTTTTTACATTCAAATTAATTATTTTTAACTTATTCCCGCCTATTTCCCGGTTTGTAGACACCCTGAAAAATCTAAAGATCCTAAATAATACTTAAAAAAAATTTGTCCCTTTTGACAACGTAATTATCTAAGGGTTGAAATTTCGCTGATCCCTCCCTTTAAGGTCATATTATTTAGTGGTGACGTGCCCCATAGTGAAATATTTGGTTTTTAGCCCCAGTTTCCCCTAATATTAACTATATAATAATCTTCGTATCCGGATTTCCAGATCTCTGTCCACACCTGAAGTTAGACTTCTGTGGATTCTTTTGTTTTATTTCTAGGTTTGACATTTCTTTTGTATACAATTTTGCACAATATATTTTCGAGGTTATTGGAAATCAAAATTTATCGCAAGAATTCAAATACTTTGAAAAGTAATAAAATACTTTGCAAAAATTAAATTATTTACAAATTAAAAAAAAAAATTCTACAATAAAATTATCATTATAAATAGATAACAAAATTCTTCTAAAGTATTCAATTATTCTCAAAAATTTTAATAAAATTATTTAAAAATTATTCACCAATTTATTTATTTTTGAAATTAAATAATTGAATTCTTGTAAAATTTTCTAATAAAAATTTATTTAAAAATAAATTTCGTTTAAAATTTTAGATAATAATAATAATTTAATATTAAAAGCATTATAGCATAAATTTATAGAAATAATTGAATTTTGAAAATGTTAGCAAATTAAAATCTTTGAAAATTGAAATTTTTCGTACTTTTAATTAATAATTAATTTAAAGAAGAATTTTAGTTAAACATTCTTGAAAATAATTCTAGAAAATAATAATGGAATTTAAATGATAAAAATAATTTAGAAAAAATTAGAGTAACAATATTCTTATATAAAATAATAATTTTATCCCTAGGTTATCTTTAATTCTTAAAAAAAAGAATAAATTGATCACTCCGAGTCAAAGACTTCTTCATATTTATAAAATAATATTCTTATAAGTTTTTAATGTTTTAATAAAATTCAAAGTTTTTTCAAAAATAAACGTAACAAACGTTTATAAATTCTATTTGTCAATTACAAATTTTCATTCAAAACAAAAATTTTTGAATTTTTAGAAAATAAAGGAAAAAATTTTACTAAAAAAAAATGTTCCGTTACATTTTTACGAATTTCTTTAATTGTAAAATTATTCAAATACATCAATAATTTCGTTTTTAAATAAATATTTAATTATTATTATTTTTGCACAGGAATTAAAACATTCAAAAATTCCAAATTCAAACCTTTTTGAAATTAATTTTGGGAAATTTCAATTATTTCTCAACTATTAAATTAAAATTCTTCAAAAAAATTGATTTTTTAAAAAAATTCTTCGTTAAATTCAATTATTTTTCAATTATAAAATTAAAATTCTTTCAAAACTCAATTTTTTGAAAAATTCTTAAAAAATTCAATTATTTTTCAATTTATTAAATTAAAATTCTTTAAAAAAATCGATTGCATGTAAAGTTGTTTGTAAAATTCAATTGTTTTCAATTATTAAATTAAAATTCTTTCAAATTTCGATTTTATTGAAAATTTTGTTCTAAAATTTTATTATTTTACAATCATTATATTAAAATGTTTACAAAAATGGACTTTTTGAGAATTTTTTTTAAATTAAATTATTTTTCAATTATTAAATTAAAATTCTTTGAAAGATAAATTTATCAGAAAAAATTTTTGGAAAATTGTAATTTTTTCTAAACTATTCAATTAAAATACTTTGGTAATTCAATTTTTTGTTAAATTGTATGTAAAATTCAATTATTTTTCAATTAAGAGATTAAATTTCTTTAAAAACTTAATTTTTTGGAGTATTATTTAAAAAATTTAATTTCTTTTTAATTTATAAAATTAAAATTCTATAAAAAATCGATTTCATGTAAAATTGTTTGTAAAATTCAATTTTTTTCAATTATTAAATAAAAATTCTTTCAAATGTTGATTTTATTGAAAATGAATATTTTTGAATTTTTAGAAAATAAAGGAAAAAATTCTACTAAAAAAAAATGTTCCGTTACATTTTTACGAATTTCTTTAATTGTAAAATTATTCAAAAACATTAAAAATTTCTTTTTTAAGTAACACAGTGCAACACATAAAATGTGCACTGAGTTTTGACTTCAGTTTCTGAAAGTACTTATCGAAACTAGCAAAAACCTATTTCAGTTTTGCTAGATTAGCTCGGATTTAAATTTTATCGACATTTCAATTTTTTTTGAATTTTCACATTTTTCAGTTTTCTGATACGGGCTGATGGGAACACTGGCTATTAAAAGTTTATTAAAAAAATTCGCAATGGTCACAATTTGAAAAGCAATAATCCCTCTTTAATTCGAGAGAAAGAAAAAAAAATTGGTCGAAAATTGTTCCAGTTACGAATTTTTTTTTGGCTTTTTTACAATTTTTGGTTTTATGAATCGGGCGGGTGAGAAAGCTGGCTATTAAAAGATTATAAAAAAAATTTGCAGTGGTCACCATTTGAATAGCAATAATTCCTCTTTAATTTCTGACATTGAAAAAAAAAATTTGGTCGAAAATTGTTCGAGTTATGAATTTTTTTCGTACTTTTTCAAATTTTTTTTGTTTTTGATCTGGGCGGGTGAGAACGCTGGTTATTAAATTTTTCTTTTTTACAAACGCAATGGTCACATTTTGCAGAGCAATACTTCCTTTTTAATTTCTGACAAAGAAACAAAATTTGGTCAAAAATTGTTCCACTTATTAATTTTTTTTTGACTTTTTCACATTTTTCAATTTTTTGATCAGGCGGGTGGGAACGCAGGCTATTAGAAATGAATTAAAAAAATTCACATTGGTCAAATTTTAAAATGCAATAATCCTTCTTTAATTTCTGATAAAAGAAAAAAATTGGTAGAAAATTATTCGTGTTATTTATTTATTTCTGTACATTTGTATCCCCGCAGTCCTGTGCAATCGAGGGTTTTGATTTTTTTTTTACTTTTTTCGAAACCAAATATTTCGAATCAAATATTTTATCTTTGGCAGAAATTAAATAGGAATTATTGCTCTTTAAATTGTGCCCATTACGAATTCTTTTTATAATTTTTTAATATTCAGTATTCCCACTTCCGTTATCAGAAAACAGAAAATTAAAAAAAAGTAAAAAAAATTCATAACTTGAACAATTTTTGACCAAATTTTTTTTCTTGGGCAGAAACTAAAGACAGATTAATGCTCTTCAAATTGTGATCATTCGAAAATTTTTTATAAATTTTTAATAGCCTGCGTTTCCACCCGCCTGATCAACAAATTGAAAAATGTGAAAAAGTCAAAAAAAAATTAATAAGTGGAACAATTTTTGACCAAATTTTGTTTCTTTGTCAGAAATTAAAAAGGAAGTATTGCTCTGCAAAATGTGACCATTGCGTTTTTAAAAAAGAAAAATTTAATAACCAGCGTTCTCACCCGCCCAGATCAAAAACAAAAAAAATTTGAAAAAGTACGAAAAAAATTCATAACTCGAACAATTTTCGACCAAATTTTTTTTTCAATGTCAGAAATTAAAGAGGAATTATTGCTCTTCAAATGGTAACCACTGCGAATTTTTTTTATAATCTTTTAATAGCCAGCTTTCTCACCCGCCCGTTTCATAAAACCAAAAAATGTAAAAAAGCCAAAAAAAAATTCGTAACTGGAACAATTTTCGATCAAATTTTTTTTTCTTTCTCTCTAATTAAAGAGGGATTATTGCTTTTCAAATTGTGACCATTGCGAATTTTTTTAATAAACTTTTAATATCCAGTGTTCCCATCCGCCCGTATCAGAAAACTGAAAAATGTGAAAATTCAAAAAAAAATTCAAATGTCGATAAAATTCAAATCCGAGCTAATCTAGCAAAACTGAAATAGGTGTTTGCTAGTTTTGATAAGTACTTTCAGAAACTGAAGTCAAAACTTAGTGCACATTCGATGACCTCAAAAATGTTGCACTGTGTAAATATTTAATTATTATTATTTTTGCATAGGAATTAAAACATTAAAAAATTCCAAATTCAAACCTTTTTGAAATTAATTTTAGGAAATTTCAATTATTTCTCAACTATTAAATTAAAATTCTTCAAAAAAATCGATTTTTTAAAAAAATTCTTCGTTAAATTCAATTATTTTTCAATTATAAAATTAAAATTCTTTCAAAACTCAATTTTTTGGAAAATTCTTAAAAAATTAAATTATTTTTCAATTATTAAATTAAAATTCTTTGAAAGATAAATTTTTCAGAAAAAATTTTTGGAAAATTGTAATTTTTTCTAAACTATTCAATTAAAATACTTTGGTAATTCAATTTTTTGTTAAATTGTACCTATGTAAAATTCAATTATTTTTTAATTAAAAGATTAAATTTCTTTAAAAACTCAATTTTTTGGAATATTATTTAAAAAATTTAATTTCTTTTTAATTTATAAAATTAAAATTCTATAAAAAATCGATTTCATGTAAAATTGTTTGTAAAATTCAATTTTTTTCAATTATTAAATCAAAATTCTTTCAAATGTTGATTTTATTGAAAATGAATATTTTTGAATTTTTAGAAAATAAAGGAAAAAATTTTACTCAAAAAAAATGTTCCGTTACATTTTTATGAATTTCTTTAATTGTAAAATTATTCAAAAACTTCAAAAATTTCTTTTTTAAATAAATATTTTATTATTATTCTTTTTTCACAGGTATTAAGACATTCAAAAATTCCAAATTCAAACCTTTTTGAAATTAAACAACTTATAAAAGTATTTTGCTATAAAACATGAAGAAATTGATTGCTCCGAGTCGAAGACTTGGAGACTCGGAGTGATCGATTTCTTTATGTTTTATAATAATTTATAAATAATTACAAATTTATGAAAATAATTGATTTATTGCGAAGAAATTTATATAAAAAATTGTAAATAATTGAATACCTGTGGAATTTTTAATATTTTTGACAATAATTAAATGTTTCTGTACGATTTTATTATTTTTTAAAAAATTGAATTTTTCTCGGAAAATTTTATTAAAATAGTAGATATTGAAAATAATTGAAATTAGGACAAGAATTTTATTGTCATTTTTGAAAATAATTGAAATTTGGGGAAAAATTTTGTTATTTACAAAGAAAATTGGGATTTTGACGAGAATTTTTTTAAAATTTTAAACATTAATTGAATTTTATGAGAAGAATTTTATTATACTTTTGAAAATAATTGAATTTCTGCAATAAATTATTTGCAATTTCTCAAAAATTGAATTATTTTAGTATTTTCGACAAAAATTTGATTATTATTGTTAAAATTGCTAATTTTTATTTAAAAAATGAAGCAAAAAGTTAGCCGCGCGCTGTAGCGCGCGTATTGTTGCTAGTTAATATTAATATTGTTCAGAAGTAAAAATTTAATGTAATTTATCTTCGTACAAGATACTCACATTTGACGATCGCGATTCTTCTTGCAACTTTGCAGCCATTTTTTAATGCCCGTATCAATTTCTGCTTTGGAGACACTGGGCTTCAAATTAATCATGGAATCTACAAAAAAAAGTTATGGAATTTAAATTGATGTTTCAAAAATGGGAAACCGAAATTTTAAATGTAGGTATGTGTAGGTATTTACCAATTACTATATTTCTCAGTTTTAACTTTTTGAAGGCAGGTTTTTTTCCAGACCTTCCTTCAAAAGTAAATGACATTCCTGCTTCGAACGTCAATAAATCATTTAAGATGTTATTTATTGTCATGTTTATACTTTGAGAATATCCTGTACGGACTGCAGCATCGCGCTGAAAAAAGAAAGTTAGTTAGAGAATTGGAATTCAAAGATTTTAAAAGTTTGGACAATTTTGCGTCAGCAAGCATATTGACACAGAAGAAAACTATACTCATCAAAATGAGTCAGAAAACTGACTCATTATGAGCTGCAACAAAAAAGAGTCCAATTTTTTTCTTTGGATACAATATTTTTCACATTTAGAGGGCTTTTCAAGACTTTAAAATCAAATCACATGAAAATTTAGCTTTTGTCTAAAAGTGTAGAATTATATAAGCACCTTTAAGTTCACAGTAAAGAAAATAATTAGATGTAAGCACAGAATTTTATAAACATTACAAATTTTGGAGTAACAATTATTTTCTAACTAACTTTTCAACCAAAACATGATTACTGATATTACAAAATTCTAAACACCTTATAAAATACTGTGAAAGGTAATATTATTATTACAAAGAAGTACAAACCACTTGTTCGTAGAACTCTTCTTTCTCTTTCAACTTTTTTGAAATTTTGAAAACTTCTTTCATGCTTTTTGCAGGAAACATTTTCAAGTCTTTCTCAGTATCAAAGGAAGGTCCAGACTTTTGCTCGCCCTTAAAAAATGATTTCACTACGGTTTCAATAGAAACTACTTTTTGATAAACTTCGTATAACGTCTTATGTCCTGAAATAAGATGATGATTATTATTACTTTATTAACATTTAGCTGAAGAACGTGACGTTAAAACATTAACGAAAACAAAATTATGATAATTAGTGTCTACTTAAATTTGTTTCTATTCTGCTTATTACCAATCGAAGGGACGTCAAAAACTGAGTGAAGAACAGTAAAAGATGTTCCAAAGTAAGTTTCGGAAAGGGGTAAAAAGGAGAATTCAATCTTCGACTTAGAGCTTTTAAACATTAACGATCGCTTTTCCAGTAACTATTACTCCTTTTTACCCCATTCCGAAACATACCTTAGAACATCTACGACTGTTTTCGACTCAAATTTTGACGTCCTTTCGATTGGTAATACGCAAAGTGGGAGGGAACAAAGTTAAGTAGACATCACTAATAATCGCGATTTTCTTTTCGTTAATGTTTTAACATTGCGTTTTTGAGTTTAATTTATTAACACAAACATTGAAGTGATAGTTACTATAAGTATCGCGAAAAGAAATTTTATTATTTAGATATTAATATTTTTACTTTCATTTGACACCCTCTTTGAAAAGTAATTTTACCAGAAAATAACATCCAATATAAGAAGAAATTCGGTTTATCACGTTCAAAAATATTTTAAGCTTTTCAATTATACATTAAATCGAATTTTTTTCATTCTTTTTTTAAATTTTTAAACCCTAATTGATGTAAATAATTTTAAATGTACCGTTGCATGATACAGAAGAAAGTAAATTTTTAAAGGTAAAAAAAATATCACTGAGTCATAATTTCTTCAACAGCATTATTTACTTACCACCCACATTCCTGTTCGTTGATTGTGAAGTTGAAGGAATTGCTACCTGATTAGTTGAAGTATCTGAAAAAATTTTAAAGATATTTATGCCGTATATATTAATTTATAAAATAAAATTTCAAGAAATTAAAGAAATATCATTGTTTAAATCTAAATACACTCTACAACTAAAATGCAAGAGTTTAAATAAAAAATTATGCAACATACTATCTTGTTTATTCCTTGATGCTTTCTTGTTGTCTTTCTTGACTGAATCACCTGTAGAAATTTTAATAAATTACTTAACCACATAAAATTATTACTGATTGTTACGTATGACTTCGTAACTATTTTTAATTTTTTCATTAATTAAAAATTTGTTATATTGTATAATTTCATTAAAAAATTGGAACTTTTGTAAATAGAATTAAGTACTCAATAGACATATTATCAGGATATAAGAGGATTTTTACATAATTAACTCATCAATTAATTTGTCTTAAAACTATTTTTTCATAATTAAATTATATCCAAACTTAAAAAATAACGATAATCATTCTTCAATTGTTTTCATTCCCAATAATATTCAATATTATTTTTAAAATTATTATTCTAAAATTGATTGAAAGAATATGAACATCACTCTTATTTCAAAAGGAATTTGTCGACTTCATTAAAAATTATCACCTACAAAAAGACTTTTAAAAGTATTGGTAAAATACTGGTAAGGAGAATACACATACACATGGGCAATATAGAATAGAGAACATCGAACTCTATCACGCCACTTTTCAAGGAATTTGCAAGCTTGCAAAAAGCTTCCTTGGTAACAATAAGTTGGCGGACCGTGTGCAAAAGTTTCTCCCACCTTTAACTATTTGAGTCGATTTCCAGGGTGTGACCGATTTTTCAGGTGGAATAATCGAGGAGTCCGAATTTGTTCCTCCCGCAGTAAAGCTGCGTAGAATTAAGTGTTCCTCCCGAAAATCGGTAGTGTTAATTTGTTTTTCCCGCAAAGCGGATGATTTCATATTTTTGAGTCTTATTTCCCGCAAAAGGCGGAGGTTTTATATTTTGTCCCCAAAATAAGGGTTGATTTTAATCAAATTGAGTTGAAGTGAATTGATAATTTATATGATTTTTTGATTATATATAAAAAATAGGTAATTTTAAAGAAATAAAGTGAGAAAAGTGATTTACCATATCATTAAAAAGGAATAAAAGTTAAAAAGAAGTTAAATTAAAAAAAAAAGAATTGTTTAAAGAAAATATTACTATAAAAAAAGTGATTATTAAAAAAATAAATAAAAGTGATTTATTTAAAAGGGAAGACAGAGTGTTAAAATTTCGAACCTCTATCTCGCGATTATAAAAGCATTTTTTTGTAATTGTCTTTACTGCAAATATCAGAGTTGATTAAAAGTTCAAAATCGGTGACCCCGATTTTTGAATATTAAAATCAATTTTGATATAATTTTGAATTAAGATAAGCAAAGAGTCTTATACTGAACATAAATAATTAAGGAGGAATAAAAACTATTGAAGAATAAAAGAAATAAAAGAAACAAGGAAGAGAAAATCTTGATCAGGAATATACTACAGGTATGAATCTGAGTGATTCACCTATAAAGAGTAACAGGAGACTTTTCTGTCTCTAATATAAATAAAAGATTTATAAGTTGGTGAGTTGATTATTAATTATTACATACTTTACACATTTATACACTTTTACACATTACGATTTGTATTAAGACATAACAATTATTATTTTATAAACAAACAAAAAATAACTATTGGATATCATTAATGTTATATTATTATTACGCATAAAAAAGAATTTTCTATTGTATTTTATAAAAGGAATATTTCACAATACTAACTATTATGCAATTATAAACACAAAGAATTTAGAATCTAGTAAAATTCTTGTTTTGTATAATATTTTTTTAAATGAATATTTTAATCATTTAGAATTGAATAAACGAGAGCATTCTATATTGAATCATATTGCAAGTAATTTGTTTTATTACGATTTTCTAACTGTTGTCACCTAATCCTTTTTTTACTTCTTTCAATTAAAATACCGTCTAACCGGGGTTATTGAATTAATAATAAACCTAAAAGAGGGATCCACTACCTTTTGAATAAAAATTTTGTTCCCGAAAAGCAAATAACGTTTACCTTGGGATGATAAGTTTTGAGTCTTATTCTATTTAACCTTTTGAAATTATCTTCAATACAGTTAAAGTTGAATTTGCTCAAAATAAAGATTTGTTTTTATTTAATAATTAATCAAATTCATCTTTAACACTGATATGAAAAAGAAACATGAGATTCTACCGAACCATAGGTTGTTATCTTATTACAAGCGTTTAGAGAAGAAATGTAGTAAATTTCCTGATAACTTATTGAATTTTCAACGAAGAATTACTAAAATGCTTTAAGAATCAAAAAATATTAACGGAGGAAAAAAATTTGTAGAGATGTGAGAATCAGGAATTTCGGTCTCGAATCGCATCGACTCTTATAAAAAAATTTCGAATCAAATCTAAAGGCGACTAGAATTCGAATCAATGTATGTATTGTGAAATAAAGTATAATATATTATACTTATATTATATAAATATAAACGTACTTTATTTTTCATTTATTCAAATATTAACATATGGGCAATGCCACGTGAGATTATAGTCGACCTCTTAAAATCGGCCAAAAATATTTTTTTTTATTCTATATAAAAAAAGAGATACATATTTTTTTATTTTTGTTTAATTGTCCAAATTTTCGAGTTATGAATTTTCGAAATTTTGGACTTTTAATCGTGGATATATATTCAGAAGCTTATAAGTCCGAAAATATTAAGTTTAGGGAAAAGTTTTTAAAGAATGAAAGTTTAAGTTTTCTATCGACTTTTAAGAAATGTATACAAAAAATTTTTTTATAAACAAATCAATTTTTTTTAACTTTGTGCCGGATTTTTTTTGTATTTTTTAAAAATTTATTTATATCTTATAAAATAGAGAATATTTTCCAAAAAGTCCCGAGATGGCCTTAATGTGTTAAATGAGTTTTAAAACATTTTCAAAAGTCACTTGCAAGCATAACAGGATTTTTTAACAATTAACTTTTTAAAAGTGTCTACAGCGTATAAATTTTTAATCTACTTGAGTGTTCTTCGTTTTAAATGAAAGGTTCTACGCTGTAGACAGTTTTAAAAAGATAATTGTAAAAAAATCCCACTGTGATGCTTGCAAGTCATTTTTGAGAATGTTTTAAAACTCTATTGTCACATCAGGTCCATTTTAAAACTTTTTGGAAAATTTTCTCTATATTATAAAGTACAAATAAATCATAAAAAATAAAAAAAATCAGGCCCAAAGTTAAAAAATTATTATGTATATAAAAAAAAAAATTTTTTTTAATAAAAACTTTTAAAAAAATTTTTTTGTTTACATTTCTTAAAAGTCGATAGAAAACGAAAACTTTCATTCTTTTACAACTATTTCTTAAACTCAATATTTTTGGAGTTATAAGCTACTGAATATAGGTCTACAAATACAAGTCCAAAATTTCGAAAATTCATAACTCGAAAATATGGACAATTAAACAAAAGTAAAAAAATACGTATCTGTTGTTTTTCAACACAGAATAGAAAAAAATATATTTTATAATTTATAATTAATTTTTATAAAAAAATTTAGTTTCGAATATGAACTATAGTTGATTTGAAATCTTCGAATAGTTCGAATTCAAACTATTCGCACATCTCTAAAAATTTGTATAAGAAAGTACTCGAACCCTATTCGAGACTACAAGATACGGATACTGAAACACGTTGTGATATTATAGGAAAAATTATTTCAAAGCCATTGCAAAAAAAACTTAGAAAATTCTTAAATGATTATTGAATCTTTCTTCTCGAATTTCTAATATTTGAAGTAGGCGATTCAAATGTCGAAGTCAGCTTTAATTCGATTTCAAAAATTCTACATTTTGGTCATAATAGATCGGATGACGAATTTTCGATATATCGAATTAGGCTGCATAATCCTGTTTGAATTCTTAACCGAGTCAAAATATTCATTATTTTCAAATCGTTCTTTAGAGTAAAATAATTTGACAATTTACAATATTTTTAAGAAACCATATTAAACGGAATATGCTTACTTTAAGGCAGAATGTATTCATATACTTGCACCAGATGTATAAATTAAAAAGAACATTTCGAATCTTACTTAGTTTAGTAGTATCCTTTACTGCTGTAGGAGTAACAGTCTCAGATGAATTTAATTCCTGGTCTACATACTCATCTTTTCGGGAGTTTTCTCGTAATTCTCCGGTAGATACCTCCAAATCAGTGTCGTTTTCTTTGGGATTCAGATTATTTCCCTGAAGCGGTGCAACATTTTCACCGGAATCTGAAATGAATATTTATTACAAAAATTTGTTGTTAAATTCAGTACGAAAAGTAACATTATTTTACTAAAAATGTTACAAAATATTTCTATTGTCCCTGAGAAAAACAAAAAACAAACTATTTTGCTTAACTTTTGCAAAAGTTTCATTTTTTTTATTCCTGTTTCTGAATATACTTCGAGACGTTAAGGATATTCAAACGCCAAATTATTAAATAAAAAAAGTAAATAAAAATTTATTCTTTGTATTTTGAATTCTAAGAGTTTTAACTTTTTTTCAAGAATTTTTTTGACTTTTACAAGGCATATATCATTTAATAAAAGTTAAATTGATTAATTGACAGTTAATTAATAAACTATTTTCAAGCAAACCTTTTTAATATTTTTTATTTTAAGTGACATCTATTTTATTACGTATTATTCAACCAATATTCATTAAAATTGGTAATTTATTTTGGGAGAGACAATTTTTTTAAAATTACGCAGGGACACTTTTATTAATCTAAGATTGAAAATTTTTTTTCTCTTTTAAAACGAAAACATTTTATATGTTTCATTGGAAAGTATATACTTACTTGTAGAAGTTAAAGCTGCTGATTTAAAAACAGTACCAGGAAGAGATATACAGGACACTTTTGGAGTCCACAACACATTGGAAAGAACACCTTTAGTGAAAAACATATTTTTAATTTTATGAATTTATTTAAATTTAAAATGTAGATTGAATGTCTTGAACTATCCATCTGAAAGAACTTATTGCATTTTACTTACTTAAAGGTTTACTCTTTTTTTTCTCTGAATTGTTGTTTAAATTCTCCTCATCGTCTGATCTACGCTTTACGCATCTGTCATGACGACTTCGTTTCAGTTTGTCTTCGTTTACGTTCTGATCACTGTCCACATCTGACAGTTTTATATATAAATCCTCTTTCTTATCTGCTGCATCTAAATTTTCTGTGAAAGACAATGTTATTGTCAAACTTTATTTCTTGTAAAATAACACTTTTCGTAAAAATGTATGTATATTAAGTAAAATTGCGATTAAGTCGAGTCCTCAGAGGGTTAAATTAATTTACAAACTCAAAAATTTAGAAGACATGAAAATTACAATAGTTCCTTACATTTTAAAACGCGAAAATTTTACTTTGGTTAAGGCTTTACACGCAATAATTAATTTGAAATAGGTAGCAAAATGTAGCTTTAATACTGAAAAAAATAGTACACGGAAAAAAAAAGTTCGAGGATTATTCGGAAACTTCGTTCTTAACTCTTGGATACGGCGGGTAGTACACAGATAACTAAAGGTTGCCTCGTTGAAATATGTCATTTACTATTTCTCTACAAATTATAACTATTTCACCACTTCTCGGCAAACTGTTCTTGAAAAAGTCGGGAACTGTTCAAGAAAATCGAAAAGTTAGGCGAATGCAAGAAAAAATGGATTCTGCTTCCCCCCTCCCACTTCCCCTCCTTGACACGTCCGCACACACACACATTTATCCTTGAAGGTCACATACAATTTTTATTTTTTATTAAGTTTCTGAAATAGAAAAAACCATATTAGAGAAAAATCGACGGCGGCTGGAACAGAACTCGCGTACCCGAGAATAGAAGTCCGGCGTCTTATCCAGCTGAGCTAAACAGGCGAGTTAAATACCTCAGCATAAAGTAAATATATATAAGGCACGCAAGTCTTACTGACGGTGAGACTTGTTGAGACTGGTGCGCACAGTTTCTGCGCACCAAGATTCCTTGACGAGTTCCCGAAAATTTCAGAAACAGTTGCGGCCAGCGCCATGAACTTTACATGAGAAAGTAATGAAAAAGAGACTAATGGACTATTTATAGCTTTTTCTAATACAGTTCCCGAATTTCTTTCAAACATTCATTGATTACCATTGAATGTTCGTTGCTAGTTCAGAGCTGTTACCACGTATCCAAGAGTTAGGAAATAATTCCTGAAACATCTGGGAACTTTTTTTTTCCGTGTAAAACGTAGGAATTAAAAAAATAGTTTGAAATGTTATTAAAATAGTAAATATTGAAAACGATTGAATTTCATTATTTGAGGCCCTGTAAAAAAAAAAGTATTGGGGGGTACGGGATTCCGTATTGCAAGTGCCAACCTGCCAATGCGGTATTCGCGAAATACCGCATTGGGTGTCGTGGTGAATACGGAAATCAAGGGGTCCCAATGCGGTGCAAGTTTTAAGCTTTAAAAAAACGAAAATACGTGACAGGAGGAAATAATTAGTGTCAGTGCAGAAATATGCGAGTTAAAGGAATGAGAAAATAATAATAGTGAGTGTAAAAATGAAATTTTAAGAAAAAAAGGTAAGTTGAACTGTCAAATATGAGTCCAATGCGGCGTAGGCTGCTTTCAATGCGGTACACAATCGGTACACAGGTGTCTGGAAGGAAAAAAAAGTTTGCCTACGATGCCAAAACAATTCATTGTTACCCACTGGTTCCTTAGCACCCTCTGAAAAGAGAAAACTTAACCCGAAAATCGTAGCTGTTCATTTATAGAAAAAACAAAAAATTTTATTTTTCAAAAAAATTTTATTTTTTTTAAAATCAAATTTTTTGAAAAATAAATAAAAATTGTAAATCAGTTAAAAATTACTTTTATTAATCTTCTATAGTGTAATATGATTTCAGGTAGTGAAAAAATGTAAACAAAATTTTGATACCCCTAGAAATGGTTATTTTTGAATGGCACAAATTTTACTAGTAGTTTTTAAAAAATTCAACTAATTCTACATTTTTTATTATTTTTCGTTGCCAAATTTTATGTATGCTTTTCTTACGATAATAAATAATCAATCGTATGGATTTTGAAAAATTTTAATTTTTTCAAAAAACGTGCACAGTGCAGAGCGCATAAAACTTGCACGATAAAATTAAAAATTTATTTTAACACATCAAATTCAAGAAGAACACTCTGAAACATTTTGCAAACTATTTTTATCATTGCCAGCTATGTTTTTTTAAAAATTTTTTTAAAACGTCCAAATTTAAAAAAAATTATTTTGTTTATATAATTTTTTATTTTTTTAAAAAAATTTGTTTTGTAACAACATTTAAAAGTTGAAGGATAACTAAACTTTTTTTGTCTCAACGAAATTTTTGTAAGTCCAATAATTTTCGAGTTGTAGACCATTGAAAAAAAGTCTACTTTTCAAAAATCAAATTTTTTCAAAATTGAAAATGTAAACTGAAATCTGACGTGAAATTGCCCACATATGAGGCATTATTCCTGAACTGCCCCAAAAATAAAAAAAAGTTCTTGGATTTCCTTTATACTTTGGAAATATGTTACCCTAGTAGGTACAAGTTACTACACCAATTTAAAGGTCCAACCCCCCACCCCAATCAAAAGGGTGGGGGGTTGAAATTTTAGCTTCAACTCGAACATGCATTCTTTAAACATTTGTAGTTTCTACTTAAATTATTCAATTAAAAAAAGTAAGTAGTGTTTTAGAAAGGTTTTTTTGTGTACTTTTAAAATATTTTATTTATATAATAAAAAAAAAATTTTTTTTGCAAAAATTTTTTAAAATAAATAGTTTTTTGCAATTTTGTGCAAGTTCGGTAGTTTTTATTTTCTTTTTAATAATCTCAAATGAAAGCTTGGGAATTCCCCTAAAAGAAGATATAAGTCTGAAAATGGGCCGAAACAATTTGCCAAAGATATAGTGTAATAAGTAAAATTTGTCCGTCCGCTCGCGCACTCCAGCGCGATGAACAGTGGGATTTTTTTTCAACTTACTATTGAAAATTGTCTAGAAACTACAAATTTTATCGGATGTTGATGTTCTTGATTTAAAATTACTAAGAGATCCATCAAAGTCGATTTTTGAATTTTTAATTGTTTATTTTTTTCTTGTTACTCAAAAATTTGACAAATTACAATATTTTTAGAAAAAATCATGTTAGTTTTTTTATTTTTCCATTACACATGATCGAAATCAATTTAAATTAGTCTAGTATGACCACCGGACAATTAATAAAGCATAATACAATTTATTTAAATTGTTGCAAACAATGTTAATTAACAAATAGATTACTTCGGACCTTCTTCATAAAAAAAATTGGTTTTTTTGCAGACAAGTTTAAATTTATGTCTAATTTAGTAAAAAACTATTTTACAGTTAAAAATTATCATTAATATTAACAATTATATAAACAATAATCAACTTCCTTTTGTATTTGTAAACATTTTCGTCATTTTTCAAACTTTAAATATTTATATCATATGTACATTCTTTCAAAAACTTAAAAAATTTATTTGCTTAAACAATTACATTTGTTATAAACAAATTTTTCATTTTTAAACAAATAATAGCTTTTTTCATCATCAAAATTTTTTCCTTTTTTAAAAAAAAAAAAAATTTTTTTTTTAAAAATATATTTATTCATAATAAATATATTTTTTCTGTGAAAAAAGAACAAAGTTAAATATTTGTTAACTTATAATGTTCGTTAGAATTAAATGAATAATTTATAGTATTCCCATTTCATTAAGGAGTTCTTTTTTATGATAGTAAATATAAAAAAGGAAAAAATTTTGTTTGATGAAAAAAGCTAATTATTTGTTTAAAAATGAAAAATTTGTTTATAACAAATGTAATTGTTTAAGCAAATAAATTTTTTAAGTTTTTGAAAGAATGTACATATGATATAAATATTTAAAGTTTGAAAAATGACGAAAATGTTTACAAATACAAAAGGAAGTTGATTATTGTTTATATAATTGTTAATATTAATGATAATTTTTAACTGTAAAATAGTTTTTTACTAAATTAGACATAAATTTAAACTTGTCTGCAAAAAAAACCAATTTTTTTTATGAAGAAGGTCCGAAGTAATCTATTTGTTAATTAACATTGTTTGCAACAATTTAAATAAATTGTATTATGCTTTATTAATTGTCCGGTGGTCATACTAGACTAATTTAAATTGATTTCGATCATGTGTAATGGAAAAATAAAAAAACTAACATGATTTTTTCTAAAAATATTGTAATTTGTCAAATTTTTGAGTAACAAGAAAAAAATAAACAATTAAAAATTCAAAAATCGACTTTGATGGATCTCTTAGTAATTTTAAATCAAGAACATCAACATCCGATAAAATTTGTAGTTTCTAGACAATTTTCAATAGTAAGTTGAAAAAAAATCCCACTGTTCATCGCGCTGGAGTGCGCGAGCGGACGGACAAATTTTACTTATTACACTATATCTTTGGCAAATTGTTTCGGCCCATTTTCAGACTTATATCTTCTTTTAGGGGAATTCCCAAGCTTTCATTTGAGATTATTAAAAAGAAAATAAAAACTACCGAACTTGCACAAAATTGCAAAAAACTATTTATTTTAAAAAATTTTTGCAAAAAAAATTTTTTTTTTATTATATAAATAAAATATTTTAAAAGTACACAAAAAAACCTTTCTAAAACACTACTTACTTTTTTTAATTGAATAATTTAAGTAGAAACTACAAATGTTTAAAGAATGCATGTTCGAGTTGAAGCTGAAATTTCAACCCCCCACCCTTTTGATTGGGGTGGGGGGTTGGACCTTTAAATTGGTGTAGTAACTTGTACCTACTAGGGTAACATATTTCCAAAGTATAAAGGAAATCCAAGAACTTTTTTTTATTTTTGGGGCAGTTCAGGAATAATGCCTCATATATGTAAATAGATGTTATCAAAAATCGTTAACCAAATAAAAGAAAAGTTAAAAATTTGAATTTTTTGTTTTTAAAAAACTTTTTAATCGATTGTATCTAGAAAATTAAACCCTGTAAACACACACATAAATAAAAATTATCAAAATAATTTAAAAATAATTTTTGCTCCTTAAAAACAATTTTTTCTGAAAAAAATTCCAAATCACCCCTATAAAGGGGTGATTTTTCCATAAATGAACAGCTACGATTTTCGGGTTAAGTTTTCTCTTTTCAGAGGGTGCTAAGGAACCAGAGGGTAACAATGAATTGTTTTGGCATCGTAGGCAAACTTTTTCTTCCTTCCAGACACCTGTGGGTACATAGTGCAAGTCGCCAGTAGAGGGCAGAAGCAAGCAGAGCGAATCGAGCGAACACAGTGGCCCGATTCGCTCGTAATTTGCATTACATTACTTTCCAATTTTTTATTTTATAACCACGTTTCTGCATGAATCTAAACAATATTTTCTATTATTGTAATTTAGAAGATGCTTACCAATTGTACGTTGGCAGATTTAGTGAAAAGTGTCTGTGTACGGAGACAAATGTGTTAGAAAATGTTTGTTTACCTATTTCACGCCATTCAAACCAGTCAAAGTTGCTTTTGCTGTGGCGCATTGAAATCAGCCTATGCCGCATTGGGCCCATATTTGACAGTTCAACTTACCTTTTTTTCTTAAAATTTCATTTTTACACTCACTATTATTATTTTCTCATTCCTTTAACTCGCATATTTCTCCACTGACACTAATTATTTCCTCCTGTCACGTATTTTCGTTTTTTTAAAGCTTAAAACTGGCACCGCATTGGGACCCCTTGATTTCCGTATTCACCACGACACCCAATGCGGTAATTCGCGAATACCGCATTGGCAGGTTGGCACTTGCAATACGGAATCCCGTACCTCCCAATACTTTTTTTTACAGGGGGGTTCACGTGCAATAAGGGGATACGCATGGAAGTGAAAGTCCCCGCGTATAGTGATTCTGCTGCTGCGCGAGAGGACAACGAATAGCCTGTGCGTCCCCTTATTGCACGTGAACCCTCATTTGTAAAAATAGTTTAATTTTTTTTAATAATTTGATAATTTCTACAAAGAATTTTAATATTTATTAAAATTATAGAATTCTGGAGAAGAATTTTATTAAAATTAAAAAAAAATTTAATTATTTGAAGAAATCCTTTCGATAGCTCCATGCAAAAAAACCACTCTCACGTTGGTTCTGTAAAACAACCAGACTGCGTTTGTTTCCTAACCACACCATATTCTCTTTAATTCATTTTTTATTAAAAATATAAAATATTTACAATGAAATATAATAAACATTTATACTCTATCAATAGTGACTGATTATAAATTGTGTTTAGATTTTCTTGCAAATAATAACCTTTGAATAAAAAATGTATAAAACAAAATATTACCAGGTTATGAGTAAAAATATAGAGTGGTTGTTTTAGAGAACCAACGTGAGAGTGGTTTTTTTTGCATGGAGCAAAAAAAATCATTAAAAAATCTTTCATTATTAAAAGTAATCAAATCTTTTTAAGAAATTTTAATATTTGTGAAAATAATTAAACTTTTGCGAAGAATTTTATTATAATTTATAAAAATGATTGAATTCTTTAAAAAAAATTTTATTTAAATAGTTGGTATTAAAAAAAATTGAATAATTGTATATGATAATAATTGAATTTTTGCGAAAAATAGACAAGTGCGAAGTGCTTTTAAATCTTTCATTTTTTTAACACTTAAACTGTTTAAAAACCTAAACGAAATAAGCTGAATTTTACTCTGTTCAAACTATTTCAGTTGAACTCAAATTCGATTCGTTCTGCTTTTTTTGCAATTGCACAAATTATTATTATATAAAGGAAGAAGTTACAACAAAGTGACAAGAAATGTACATAAAATGAAGTAATTTGAACAGTATTTAATTGGTATTCACTTAAATTTTGGTTAATTTAAACTTTTATTAACATTTTATGCTTAAACATTTTAAAGTTGGAAGAGTAATCAAATTTAGATTCATTTAATTTTAATGTCTTACAATTTTTGAACAATTGAAATTGGTATTAATGAGAGGTTAAATTGACTAAAATTCGAATAAATTTTAATGTGAAAGAACCTACAATTACATTATTAAGTAATCAAATTTTTGTTTCATCGAAATCACAACGAATTAAAATTAGATATATTTAAATATGTAGAAACTAAATTTTTTAATAGATTATAATTCAGATGATGAAAAAAAGAATACATTATAAGATTTAATATGTTTTAAATAAAATTGTATAAATGTAAGGAAAAAACAAAAATCTAATTAAAGTAAACACTGAAAATTAATGATTAAACGAACTTACAAGTGAAGTTCGATCATAATTATATGAATTACTTGTTCGAAGATATATTTTACTTGTAGTACCGCAAATTGTCGCTAGATGACGCCACTATTCAGAGATAGAAAGAGAAAAGTCTGTCTCTGCCTACCTTTCTACTACTTTATAGCCCTGCCTTCATTTAGTTTAGATTAATTAAAGGGTAGGGTAAAATTTTTTTTTTTTTTATTATTATTATTATTATTATTATTATTTTTATTATTATTATTATTATTATTATTATTTTTTTTATCTATTTTTTATTATTGTTAGAAAAATTTTTTATTGGGTGGGAGTTTATATCTTCGAACAAGTAATTCATATAATTATGATCGAACTTCACTTGTAAGTTCGTTTAATCATTAATTATATTTCATATAACTTGTTCGAAGATATATTTTACTTGTAGATGTTTAGAGTTAAACAGTTAACATATCTTGAAAAACTCATTTCTTTATTAAAAAAGTACAAAATCCTTCTTTTCTTCTTATAAAACTAGTATATTAAACATTGAACAATCATAATTATGCATACATGAAAATAATAAGTACTAAAAGTCTTTGAACTTCTAAGTAGAAGTTAGAACTGTTTCTGAGAAAATCGAATTTGCACGTCCTATTGGTCTATTATAAAATCTTTGAAAAACGCTAGAATTAGCCGACCAACAAGCTGCTTTTTTTATTTCATTAATATCTAAACCCTTTCTCAAGGCTTTGGAAGTAGATGCATGTCTGGTAGAATGAGCACCGATATCTTTATTGATACCAGCTTTTGACATCATGGTCTTTAACCATCTACTGATGGTTTGTGCGCCTACTTCCTTATATGGTTTCTTAATTGATATAAACAGTCTCTTAATTTCGCCTCGAAAATCCTTAGCTACTTCTAAATAGTCTATTATTGTCTGCGCTACACAAAGGCTTTGTTATTAAAAAATGGAAAAAAAGCAAGAGGTTGTTCCGAACCTGGTCTCGAGGTTTTAATAATATCGGATATGAAAATCTCAACTCCTTCTTTAAGAATCTTAACGTTATCAATTCTAATCTTTGCTAGAGATTGTACTCTAAAAGCCGAGCCTAGTGCTAATAACATAACTAACTTAAGCGATAACTTACTTAGGTCTATTTGACTGTTAGGACTCCATTCTTCGATCAGCTTTACAACCGGATCGACGTCCCATGTGGAAGTGTATCTAGGCAAGGTTGGTCTGATTCGAAAAATACCTTTAAAGAATCTGTTGATCAGTTTGCTCTCTGTGATCTGATAATTGTTAATCAAAGCAATGGCCGAGCGTAGCGTGTTGAGAGTACCATAAGAAGCGCCTTCGGAAAACTTCTTTGTCAAACATTTAGGAATGGTGTTATCGTTCGCCAGATAGGGATCCTGTTTTGTCTCCTCACAAAAATTCCACCAATATTTTAATGAAGTGTTGTATTGTTTTTTTGAACTCTCTGCCAATGACTCGAACAGGATCTCTATAGTGTCTTCTCCCAAGTCCTTTTCCTTGAATGATTGGCTAATAAAACTCCTGATACCAGGGTAAGCTCTGCTGACAGGGGATGAATGACTTTCCTGCAAGGAGAAAGAAGCAAATTAGAAGCTGGTTTCCACTCAATTATATCTGAAACTAATAATCTCTTAAATTCAGGGAACCACGGTTGGGATGTCCAAAGTGGAACTACCAGGATTCCTGTGAAACCTTCCTCTCTAACCTTCTTCAAAACTTTGGCGATTAAGGAAAAAGGGGGAAAGGCGTACCAGAATTCCTGTTTCCAAGCTACTGTCAAAGCGTTTATTGCTTGTGCTTCACAGTCTCTTTCCCAAGAAATATATCTAGTACACTTCTTATTTATTCGACTCGCGAATAAATCTATCGAAGGTTGGCCGAATTTCTTAACAATTTCACGAAACGCAAAATTAGCCAATTCCCATTCAGTGTCTAAATTAGAGATTCTGGATCCTTCATCGGCCAAGTTCTCCTTTGAAGCAACGTATTCTGCGAATATCCAGATATCCCTATCCCTACACCATTCCCAAACTTCCTTGGTAAGATTATGTAGTTCTTTATTTTTGATACCCCCCATCTTATTCAAATATGCCAGAGCTGTTACATTGTCAATTCGCAAGAGAATTTGTTTATTTATTTCTGAAGCGGCGAAAGCTTTAAGGGCTAAAAAGGCGGCCTTAATTTCTAAATAATTTATATGTCTCTCTCTATCCTTATGTCCCCAAAAACCTTTAGCTTATTTTGATGCACATGTAGCTCCCCAACCTGTCTTGGAGGCATCCGAGAAAATTTCGAGATCGTATTCGCTAGAACGAATTTTATTTGTCGCTATTAAAATCTGAGAATTCCACCACTCTAATTCCTCTATTGCCGACCCAGATAATTCTATTGATCTCCTGAGATTTTCCTGATTAAAATTTAAAGCTTCCCTCTTAAGCGATTCTAAAGATTTGTAATAAAGCCAGCCGTAAGCTATTGCCGGACAAGCCGCCACAAGAGTACCAATTGTTTCCATTAAAACTTGAACCTTTATCGTATTACTCTCAAGTAGTTTCTTAATTAGATTTTTTATTTTTAATCGCTTTTCCTGTGGTAATTCTAATCGCATTTCTCTCGAATTAATTATCATAACTAAAAATTTACAAGAATTACTAGGTTTTATATCACTTTTTTCCCAGTTAATGATAAATCCCAAAAATAATAAAAGCGAAATTGTTAGTTTTGTGTTCTTAATACATTCTTCCTTAGAAGTTCCAAAAATTAAAAAATCGTCTAAATAGATCACTAATCTAATACCCCTTGACCTTAACCAGTTTACAATTGGTTTACCTATTTTTGTAAAAATAAAAGGGGCTGATGATAAACCAAATGGTAGAGCGTTAAATTGATAAGTCTGGCTGTTATATTTAAACCTGAGAAAATTTTTGTGTGAAGGATTAATAGGAACAAGTAAATAAGCGTCCTTTAGGTCTAGTCGGCACATATAATCGTGTTTATTGATAAGACTTAGTGCGGTTCTAATATCCTCTATCTTGAAGTGTTCCTTTTTAATAAAGAAATTAAATTTCTTAAGATTAAGGATGAATCTTTTTGAGCCATCTGGTTTATCAACCAAGAAATAAGACGACAGAAACTGTCCTTTAATTTCTTTACAAACTTCAATTGCCCCAGAGGATATTAGTTTCTTAATAGCCCTATCATAATCTAAATTTGGACTCTGAGTATGGGGTTCACTAATTTGAAAAACCTCTCCTTCTAGGTTTAAACTGTAACCCTTGATCGCCTCTAGGACAAAATCATTTTGGGTAATTTGTTTCCATCTATTAATAAAAAATTTTAATCTAGCTGCTGTCGGTGTTACCTTATCCTGATTTAATGTCTGTTCCTCTGCGGCTGCGACTGCATGTAATGCCTCTTCGCTGGGCCCTTGTTGCGTGAAGGATAACCGGTCTGTGTGTCGTTGGAGCTGGATGTTCTCGATGTCTGACTCTGGTTGAAGCTCCTCCTCATCGCTCCTCTTCTTGAAGTGGAGCTTCTCCAGTTTAAAGTTGATCTTAAGGGAAGTCTCGATTTCGGTCTGAGGTCCATGGATACCCTTTCCATAGCCTTAGATGTCTCGATCAATGCTTTTAAATTATCTCCAAACAAAAAAGATGTAGGTTGTACCTTTTTTAGAATCTTTTGGATCTTCTCCTCATATCTACCTACGAGGAAAACTTTTCTTGCCTGAGTTAATAAATGGAAAAGTTCGGATAATAATTTTACTGAAGATGATAAATTCTCTAAGATCTCTTCCCTAGAGAGTGGTGTTTTTGAGTCCTCTAAAATCTTATTTAGTGTTGTTGAGATCGATGCCAACGCAGCCCCTGTTAGGTCTTGATAACATTTAAAATGCTCGTCTCGTGATAGAGCTCTATGTTGTATGTCTCCCATTATCTCCTCGTTGAGGTTATGAGCTTCTAGGTTAACTAAACCTTTTTTAGGAATTGACGCGAGCAATTTTTCCTTGTCCTCCTTATTTCCAAATCCTTCGGTTGTCCATTTTTTTATTCGATCTGCTAAGTCCTTTCTTAGAATTAATTCTTGAGGAGTCTGTATGGGGTTCAATCCGAGAAAATAATCCGCCTCCTCGGGTAACTCGCATTGTTCATCGCCTGATTCCTCGTTAGTCGACATATTCTTATTTTGAGACTCCTTCTCTGATTCGGACGCAGGACTCTTATTTTCTTTTTCGTGCGATAATACATCTAGAAAATGACATGATAATTTTTTATTTGTCGTCCTCGATTCATGATTGAGGATCATTTTATTTCTTAGGCTTCTGGCAGCAAATCGGGTTTGCTGCTCCGCCATTTTGGAAGACGCGCTCGTATTAGGAGAGTCTGGTTCTCCTTTCTGTTGTAAGTATACCATACCTGAATACGATAAAGCTGATTCACTATCTGACTCGCTATCCATTTCCTCCATATCCTTGAAGAGTTGAATCCTCTCTGTATCCAGTTCCTCCAGTCTCCTCCTCTTCTCCTCTCTGGAACTCATGACGAAAATCCAAGTTAAAAAGAATACTTCGATGTGGTCGTCACCAACGCCAAGAAACGAATGAAGGCAGGGGTATAAAGTAGTAGAGAGGTAGGCAGAGACAGACTTTTCTCTTTCTATCTCTGAATAGTGGCGTCATCTAGCGACAAGTCGCGGTACTACAAGTAAAATATATCTTCGAACAAGTTATATGAAATATAATGACTTTTCGATTTGACAATTGTGGCAAATATTTTTATTTAATGACTGTGAACTTAACCAAAAGATACTCACTCGCAAAATCAAAAACTTTTTTCACAAGATAGGGTTCTCCTTCCTGGTTGGACCACTCGAGTTTATCAAACTGGGTTTCGTCATTGCATAAAATTTTTCGAAATTGAAGACTTGTAGTGTTTGGAGGGAAATAACTTCTTGTAATTATCCCGTCTTCATAAACAGCCCAATCTGTTTTAATTATTTCTATTCCATCTTCAAAATTAACCACAGCAAATGGAAATTCATTAGTATCCATATTTTCTTTATCGTTTAGTTTCTGAAAGTGTTTAATTTAAATTAATATTCAAAGGTGTCATGTGAATTAATAAATTTTGTTACAATACATATAGTTTTTAAAGTATTTTAAAAATCAAAATAAGAAACTTCTCATAAGGTGTTAGTCCATTTTATTCCAAAGAATAATTAATTACTTTATAAATATAAATTTTTAATAGATTTTACATATTAACATTATTATTATTTCAAAACATTTAAATATATAAAAAATGCTTCTACAAATTTTAATACTAATTACAAGTTTGACATAAGATTTTTTTTAATTTCAAAATAACGAATTCAACATAGCAAATAATCATTTTAATAACTTTACTCACTTCATCCCAAAAATCACTGAATCTAATAAACTAAAATAATCGAATTTTTAACTTTATAATTAATAATTATTATTTACTAAAATAAGGGTAGGTGACCATTTATTTAATTGATTTAGTATTAACATTATTACAATATTAATAAACTTTAAAATAACAATATGCCACAAATATTTTTCTCTTGTGCTATTTAAATAAACTTATAAATGAAATTATTTTTAAGGCAAACAATTATTAAAAATGAAATGACAATTTAAATAGAATTACCTGGTATAGTTTGGTAAGGTCACAACCTTTATAATCAACAATTTCGAAGAAAAATATTTTTCATTCAAATTTTTTTATATAGAAAAGTTTTTACTAAATGTTTTAATTAATAATTTAAGAAATGAATATTTTTGAATAAAAATATTATTGTTTTTTTCTTTATTCCTTTTCGTTATTGGTTAAAAATGGGCAAAGTTATATACACCCGGCTTTTTAACCTCTTTTTTTATGGTATACATATATAATATACTAAAGACTTACACATGTCACTAGAATAAATAATTTAATAATTCTTTACCTTAATTGCAGACATCAGAATTGGATTTCTGGTAATTACCGGATCATGAACTCACTTTATTTAATGACCTTTTATTTTGAAACACTTTTAATATTCATATGCATTAATGTACATCGTGTCAACGAGGTATTTTAAATAAACTTTTTAAACTTGTCGTAACCGGCAAACTACGACGAACGCGACAAACACAGTGTTGCCACTTGTTGAAAAAGGCATAATATGAAAGGCGGAAAAATTCAAAATTCTCTTTTTTTGACCTGTTTGAATTACATAACCGTCTTTAAAACACTAATTACAATATACTTTTTCATTAAAAAACGAAAATTATTCGTATACTTTTTATACTTGTAAATATTATAAAACAGTATAATATATTTCATCTATAACGTTTGCTGTTAAACTTACGGCTGAAATTTTTAGATCTGCGCACTAAACACTTGTTGAGTTTTGGTTAGGTCTATCTCTTGCATTTTTTTTTTTTTTCTTAAATGACTTGAAGCTAGGCCAACTGTCAGAACACACACTCTTATATACCAACTACTTTTTGCGTTTCTACAGAACGACTTTTTGAGGTTAGGAGTACTCGCATTTGCCTGGACCACCCGTCAATGGGTTTTCTCGCCAGAGAAGAGGGAAACTGTAGAAAACCTCTCCTGAGTACAACCGGTTTATCGACAGCCGAGTTTTAACGGTGTGTGCTGCACAATAATCGACAGTGCACATCATTATACCTCGACGTCAAACCTCCCGCTCAGATTATCTCACGTGCCGGAAAAATCCCAGGCTAATGGGCGCGAACTAAGTACCCTTGGTCCGCCCACCGAGCCAGGCATTTATCCGACCGAGCTAATCTGTCGGTATCTCTTGCATTTGATTTCAGCAGTTTCAACAGCACCGGCGACTACCACTTCCTTTCTGTCTATATATTCTTGTCCTCGTAAAACGTGAACTCCACGTGTTTCTTAAAATTTGTGCGAATAAAATACTGATTATGAAAAGGTCTAAGCGCTATAAAACTGAACGACTATGTGGATATTCCAAGCGTCATCTAAGACGCATTGTGAAAAATAAAACAGATGAAAACTCTGAAGTGATTTTTGAAGATAGAGAAAATGGAAAATCTGACTCATCAGAAACATCAAGTGATGAAAGTAATAACGAAAGAGATAACAGGTAAGCAAATTATTTATATATCTTAACGGCGTTGGAGGTCGGGAACTGTCAAGTGTTGCCAACCCACTCTCCCCCACTGTCCAGTATGTTTCGTGTAATTTTCCACTTTGATCACTTTTTAAAAAAAAACAAAGAACTTAATCAAAAAAGGGCTCTTTACACTAAAATAAAATTAAATAAAGAATTAGTAAAAATTTATTTGGTCTCGACACGATGTTTCTACAAGCCACAAAACGATTTCTACGATTACAATTTACAGATGTAGTTGGCTTGATATGGGGAAAAATGGCCGCACAACAGAAGGTGGAGTAAGGCGGGGTTGCCTACGTAAAGGCATAACATTATCATAATACAGGGCAGTAAGTTTTATTTTGTTGAAAATTATAAAAATAACATTTTGCAGTAATAAAAACTAATATAATTAATATAAATAAATGGGGTTCTGTTTATAATAATATACATAATATAAAATATGTTGAATTAAAACGAAAAATATGAAAAACATTTTTTAAAATTCTGTTATTCATTAAAATAATTTTTTAAAGAGATTAAAAATAAAATTTTCTAATTAGTACCTCTAGAGGTACAATTTATTGAATTGTAATTAATAAAAATAATAAAAATGACAAATATACAGAATTTTAAAAAATTAAATTATTTATAAAAATTGAATTTTTTGTATTATTATATGTAAAAATTAATTAATTAGTAATTGGAAAATTATATAAAATTAAAAATTATTTATTAATTAAAAAACCGTAAAAATATGTATTATTTTTTTCCTTATATATTGGTTAAATTATTAGTAATCAGGTTTTCTAGTCTATTAAAATTTATTTATTTTAATCCTTTGTATAAAAATAATTAATGCAATTATGTTTTTTTATTCCTCAATTATATAAGATAATAAAAGAAATTTATCGCTAATAAATTTTCTATTCTAAAACAATAATTACTTATTCTACTATTTTGAAGTCCCTTTCAATAGGCAACCAATTTATAAGTTTATTTTTTATGTTGAAACTGTCAATTTGTATAGCGAAAACAATATTGACGCTCGTTGAAAAATCGTATTATTAAAATCAAATTTTTTCTTAAATCGTTATTTCATATATAATTACAATAAAAAGCCCCCTTTTTTATAAGTTTCTGCTTTTTCTCTTTCCATTTAAATTATCCAACACTTTCAACTGCTTCATACAAAACTTTTTACTTTGACAATTTTTTAAAAAAAAATAATTTGACACTATCTCAAAAAAAGAGCTCTTTACCCTAAAATAAAATTAAATAAAGAATTTGTAAAAATTTATTTGGTCTCAACCCGATGTTCCTACGAGCCACAAAACGATTTCTACGATTACAATTTACAGATGTAGATGACTTGATTTGGAAAAAAATGTCCGCACCGAAAGTTGGAGTAAGGCGGGGTTGCCTACGTAAAGGCATAACAGTATCATAAAACAGGGCAGTAAGTTTTATTTTGTTAAAAATTATAAAAGTAAAATTTTGCAGTAATAAAAACTAATAGAATGAATATAAATAAAGGGATTTTTGTTTATAAGAATATACATACCTAATATAAAATATGTTAAATTAAAACGAAAAATATGAAAAAAAAATTTTTTTAATTTTGTTATTCATTAAAATAATTTTTTAAAATGATCAAAAAATTAAAATTGCTAATTAGTACCTCTAGAGGTACAATTTATTAAATTGTATAATTAATAAAAATATTTAAAATGACAAATATACAGAATTTTGAAAAAATTAAATTATTTCTAAAATTTATTGAATATTTTTGTATTATTTTGAAAAATTAGTTAATTAGTAATTGGAAAATTATATAAAATCAAAAATTAATTATTAATTACATAATCATAAAAAAGTATTAATTTTTACCTTATATATTTGTTAAATTATCTTTAATTATGTTTTCTTGTCTATAAAAATTTATTTATTTTATTCCTTTGTATCAAAATAATTAATTTAATTATGTTTTTTAAATCCTCAATTATATGAGATATTAAAAGAAATTTGGAGCTAATAAATTTTCTATTATAAAACAATAATTACTTATTCTACTATTTTAAAATCCCTTTCTACCCAATGGGAAGTAAACGATTAGTTCAATAATGGGCCATGCTTGGCGAACTCCGTTCCATTATTGGAACATTAATGGCAACCATCATTGGACCACCAATGGTTTAAACTTGGGATGATCACGCTACTGCCAATGATCGGTAGCCAAGCATCGGGCCATTATTAGTTGCCAAGGAATTGCCAAGGATACAAAATCGATTTTCAAAAGCTTGATTTTTTATTGGCAGCCAACAAAAAACCAAGGTTTTAGAAATTGATTTTTTTTAATTATTAATTAAAATTTATTTTTAAAAAATATATTTTTCAAAAATTTATTTAAAAAAAATATATTTTCCAAAAATATATATTTTTTTAAATTAATAGAACATATTAATTTAATTTTTACCTCTGGTAAAACAAAGGTGAAAGACTGATAAAAATTCCCTCACCGTATCTCACAGTGGAAGAATAACTGTGAATGTCTTTGCGAGAGAGGAGCAGGTACTTATATAGAGCCAGTGAAACAGGTCACAAGCGAGAAGAAATCACTAGCATGCACTCTGGCGGCGCTTATCGGAAGTGGCGCAACGTTGGTTGCCAAGCGCTGTGTCGATAATGCCACGATATGCATGCGCGCCAGAAAACAGTTCCGACAAGCGCCGCCAGAGTGCATGCTAGTGATTCCTTCTCGCTTGTGACCTGTTTCACTGACTCTAAAAGTACCTGCTCCTCCCTCGCAAAGACATTCACAGTTATCCCTCCACTGTAAAATATAAAGTGAGGGAATTTATCAGTCTTTCATCTTTGTTTTACCAGAGGTGACAAATTAAATTAATATGTTCTATTAATTTAAAAAAATATATATTTTTAAAAAATATATTTTTTTAAAATAAATTTTTGAAAAATATATTTTTTAAAAATAAATTTTAATTAATAATTAAAAAAAATCCATTTTCAAAACCTTGGTTTTTTGTTGGCTGCCAATAAAAAATCAAGCTTTTGAAAATCGATTTTGTTTCAATTTTTAAAAAATAATTTGACACTTTCTTAAAAAAAGAGCTCTTTACCGTAAAGCGAAAATAAATAAAGAATTACCTATTTAAAATTTATTTTGTTTCGATATGATGTTTTTATAAGCCACAATCTTATTTCCACCATAAAAATTAAAAGCTGAATGTGACTTGTGGAAGAAAGTGTCCAGAAATTTTGTGAAGGTTGCCTACGTAAAAGACTAACAGTATCAAAGAACTAGGAATTAGTAATTTAATTTGTCAAGTAATTTAAACGATATTTTGTAATAATTAAAGTTAAATATAAGAAACATGAATAAAGGGATTCTTATTTATGAGAAATGTACATAATATAAACATGTCAAATTAAAAAAAAAGGTTTTGATAAATTTTTTATTTTTTCAATTTTGATATATTTATTAAAATAATTTTTTGAAATGATTGAAAATTAAATATTTTCTTTTAAGGTACAATTATTTATTAATTTGTAATTAATGAAAAATTTCGTAAAATTACATTTATTGTATTTTTACATTCTCATAAAAAATGAGAAAATCTTGGATTTGTGCGATGTTGAGAAATTTCTAATTTTGATAAATCTTCATTTTTCATGACCCCCTGATGAAACAAAATTCACCCCCGATGAAATTTTCAAAATTTTGTATTTTTTACAATTTTCAAAAAAATATTTTTTTCTAATTTTTTTCTTAAATTTTGTACAAAAACAAACAAATTTTCCCTTGGACACTTTTTTGTAAAAAAAAATTATGAATTTTTTTCAAAATTTACTATTTAATGCTTTTTTAAATTTTATGTCAGCCATGTATAAAGTATCTATAGAAAATTTGTCCTAGGGGAGCCGTGTTTATAAAAATTAGTTCATATTATGTTAAAATAAATATAAAATATAAAAATATACTATATTGTCAGTGATACTTCGTTTTTTTAGTTTTATGGAAGAATCATAATTATCTGTGGACGTCGACATGAAAAGGGCCCATTGTGGCACTATTGAAGTTATCTATATGGGCGATTTTCTTGAAAAATTTGGAAAATTTTTAGTGGTCTTAGAACTTTTTGGTTAAAAATTCGCTGAGTTACTGAATTTTAAAGTTTAGAACGCCAAAAACCTCATTTCGAGAAAAACGGAATTTATTGAAGATTGCAATACTAACTAATTGTTGTATCTCTAGTTCTCTTATTGGAAGTTATTCAGATAAGAATTGTTTTTAGTTCAGGACACCTTGAAGATAAAAAACCAATAGGTTTTAAATTTTAAAAACCATCCCCCTCTCTTAATTTTGAAAATACGAAAAATCGATAATATGGGCCTTTTTCTAAAAAGGACAGTTTTTCTATTAAAAAACCATTTTTTACAAGAATAATGATTAGGTACAATTTTATTGTGTCATTTGAAGAATAAGAATAGATATTAAACTTATTCAAAATTTTTTGACAGTCTCTATTATGAAAAAATTGACGCAATATCCAAATTTTCATTTTGACAATCACAAAAAAAGACTCTAATATCAATATCTCTGGTTCTTCTGGGAAGTTATTCAGATAAGAATTGTTTATAGTCCAGGACACCTTAAAGATGAAAAATCAAGAGGTTTTAAATTTTTCCTCACCTCCATTTTTGAAATACTGTTTAATTTTCCAAATGACCGACAAAATGGGCCAATTTCCTTTTTTCTAAAGAACCACTGAAATCAAACAGTTAAATAATCTATAAATTAATGAAAACCGCATGATTCGAGTTGTCAAAACATGTAGATTGATAATAAAAAATTTTAAAAAATTAAGATTTTGCTCCAAAATTACTAAATTGCGATTATCTCGAAAACTAGAACCGACAATATGGGCCCTTTTCATGTGGACGTCCACATAATTATATACATATACTTGCGTAAAATCTATTCCTGGTATTCTTTCTAAATTTATGTTTTGGGTAGAAATATATTCTTGATCTTTTTATTTTAGCTGAATCTTGAGTTGTATGTGGGACATTCGAGGCCAAATCGGAAATTATTTTGCTTTTGCATCTCAAATTTTTTTTAAACTTTTTTTTCTTTTAGTAATCTTTGAAATGAGCTACCTTGATTTTTTTCAAAATTTTTTGTAAGAACTAACACTAAATTAACAATTTTTAAGTCTTGTCC